ATAAGAAGCCATCTTGAATTTAATGATAAATCTTCAACAAGCACATATATAAATAATATTCAAAGTTTTCAAGTGTACCTATAGAAAATAAACTTCTATGATTTAATCAGTATTATCACTCAAGTAAATCCAATTTTATGAACTTTCTTCTTCTAACATTTCATCTAACACTTTATATGTGCCAAAAATCTAACATAAGAACAACAAACTTGGACATATAATTATTAACCAATTACCTATTTCCAACCTTTTACTATATATAGAGAATAATTTAGTCCACAATAATACATTTTTCATATTTATTTGCTATCCTAAACTAAAATTCTTCTATCAAACAATTTATCAAATACCTTGTGTGCATTCAAATCAAACCATATAGACAACATCCTACTCTTTAAATGTCTCTCAAAATTTTTCCAATCTTCATCATTTAGATTTATTATACTTTTCAAATTCAATTCCTTGCCAAGAATCAATTTCAGCTAAAAGAACCAATCCAAACCTCCTCATTTTTTATTAAGTAAAAGAGGAAAATATCATTACTTAAAAGAAGAATACCAACGCAGCAACCAGCATTATTTTATGGAATAAACTAATAGGCAATATGATAAGAAGAACAAAATCACTTGGCACAATTAAATAAGAAAAAAAGTCATGCAAGAAGCTTTTGCTAAAACTTCATTCATTCACTAACAGGTGCACGAATCCATACCCTGTTTTTAAAAAAAAAAAAAAAACCCAAGAAAGCAATTAAAGTGGAGCCCACCCACCAAATGTAAACTCCTCAAGTTTCAATTTCAGCATTAGGAGGAAAAAAACTCCCTCTCCTTTTCCCACTCACGATTACAAACTAAAACAGAGGAAAGAAATAAAAATCAAAATTTCAGCCACCCAATCACACACTCAAATGCAAATCAGATATGAGGAAAAGAAAAGGAGGTGGAATTTAGCTCACCGATGAAGCAAATAGGAACGTGGAGAAAAGTTCGAAGTCCCTTCACCAGAAGGGAAGCGTGGTGGAGGGGAACTAAACGGAACCAAGGAACTAAGCGACAACCGTCAGCGTGAACAGAGGACGACGAGAAGAAGAATGGAGGCTTTGAGTGCACGTGCTCGCACCCACAGAACGACATCAACAGAGGACAGGAAGGAAAAGAAGGTTCTGGCGACGCAAACAGAGCTGAGGAGAAAAAACGTGGTGGCAATGAACCCACAGCAATGAAGGAAGCACAGACGAGCTGCTGCACTGGTCGACGGTGGCTGAATGGCGGAAGAGGAAAAAAGGAAATGGAGGTTTGAACGAAAATTGATCTCTCTCTCTCTCTCTCCCTCTTTTCTAGTTTGTTCTGGAGCATATGAAAATTACTGGCCAGAGCAAAAAGAAATGGCTGAACTGTATTTCAATTTCGCTAGTCAAAAAAAAAAAAAAAAACTGTATTTCGTTTTCGTTTTCTTTTTTTTTTAAAGGGCATTTCATTAATTTCATATCACCTGGCAAAATAAGCTATCCCGCCTAGACAAATAATAAAGTTTCCTTGAAATTTTTAACAATACTCTTAAAATACTTTATCATAAATCTTAATGTTCTTAATTAGTTTTTTTTTATATTAGACTATTGCGTAACTATTTTAATTAATTTTTTTACTTTTTTTTAACTATTGTTGGACCCCCTTCATTTTTCTTTCCTTTACAATTATTGAAATTTTTTCAATTAATTATTTAGTGCACTTTTTTAAAAAAATTGAAAATTCTCAGGTCATTACAGTAACTTGGTTTAAGTTGGTAGTCTCTATCTACTCACCGACTTCATAGTATTAGACATAGAAGATGGGAGGAATGTATCTCTCATCTTGGGTAGGTCATTCTTAGCTACCAGAGTGTTAATTATGATTAATGTTTCCAAGAAGAACTAATTTTTCAAGTAGGAAAGAATAAGTTTTAAATTTGCTAAACCTACTAAACTCCTTGTTTTTGAGGACCCATTTTATATCCCACAAGGTGAAGGGAAGCAAATAAACAATTCTCCTTTTGAAACTAAAGAAAAGCATGCGCTCTCATCCATGCATGGCACCCCTTGACAACTGAAGTAAACTATCTCAGACACTAAATGTGGTGCTTATTGGGAGACAACATAATTTTTTCAATTTTTTTAAATAAGTTACTGTTTTCAATTTTGTTTCTTTTTCTAGTTTTAAATTTTATTTTTCTGTGTTTTGTTTCATAAGATCAAACTAATAGAGAATAAGAGCAAATAAAGGACCAAATTTACTTCAAACGCATGCAGGTGCACATTGTGTGATCTTGAGCTAAATACAGGGAAGTATTAGTCTCCAACCTCCTTTTCTTATTGTGTGAAGGTATAATTTTGTTCTTAAACTATTCTTAAAGGAGCAATGTTATCTCTAAACTAATTAAATCAGAGCAATGTTGTTCCTGTCATTTAAACATCCATTACTGAAGCTAGTGGGACCTACTTTTCATGAGTTAAAGTACAATTTTATCTCTAAACTATTTTTAGAGGAGCAATGTTGCCATCATCATTTAAAAATTATAAAATTAAATAAAAATAAAATTATAATAATATTAAATGTATATAAAAAATAAATATAAGAAAAATATAACTCATAATTTTATAACTTGTCAAATATAAGTGGATCTTGGTTAAACTAGATATGAATAGATTCAAAAGTATCTGCATTTGCACATATAACTATCGGCATCTTTATAAAAATTAGTCTCAAATAATATTTTATATATGTGAATTGTTCAAAATAAAGTTGGCTTTAGTTGGATCTAATTTTTAATTTTTTCTATTTTTTAAAAATATTTTTTAAGCTTTTTTAATATTATGTGTAAAATAGTCTGGTTTTTTGAAAACCACTCTAGTTCCCAATTCAACTTCAATTTCTGGCTTAATAGAGGCCTAACTCTTGTCCAATCTAACTCAATCATGGAAATAATTTTTTTTCTTCCAAATCGAGTCATTAATAATGGTTTCTTGTCCAATCCAATTCAATCATTAATGATAGATACTTTTGAGTCAATTTACTTATATTTGATAAGTTATAAAATTATAATTTATAACATTATTAATTTATGACATTTTATTAATATACTATAAATTTTTTTCTTATATTTACTTTATATGTACATTGAATAATATTTTTATTTAATATTATTATAATTTTATATTTATATATACATTTAATACTATTTTATTTAATATTATTGTAATTTTATTTTTATTTAATTTTGTTACTTTTAAATGAGGAGGGCAACATTACTCCTTTGAAAATAATTTATGAGCAAAATTATACCTTAACCCATGAAAAGTAGGTTCCACTAGCTACCAATAATGGACATTTAAATGATAAGAGTAATATTGTTATGATGAATAGTTTAGGGGCAATATTATTTCTTTGAAAATAGTTTAAAGGTAAAATTACACCTCAATCCTTTCTCTTATTTTATTCATATATAGCAAGGTCACTGTGACATCCAAAGTGTGGGTGAGGATATAGTATTTCTACCACTTAAATTTTCTAAATTGCCTTAGCAAATTACATGATGTATTTGGTTTTATTCTTGAAAATTTTTAAAACAAAGGATTTTTTTTGTTCACAAGCACTGTTTTATTTAGCTATACTACCATTGAAAGCCTCTAGAGGACTGTTGTTTTTATCAGCTATGTGTAATTAAATTCTTGTCATTCTGGTAACTAAATTCTTGTCGTTCTAGAAAACTATGAACTTAGTTCTGTAAATAACTTTTGATTTACTATTTATTTGTTGAGTAATGAAGTTTTGATTTCTTGTTCTTGTGTTTCTTGTTCTTTTTTGTTTTTTTGTTTTTTGTTTTGGGTAGAATGCTTTCTTGTTCTTGTTTAGTGTTTGGCTACCACTAAGTGAGATTTGGACATTTTGGTTAGACCTTAGAAAAGGAGACCCAAATTGAACCTTGGGAACTAGTAGTCTAAGATTAACTTAGCTAATTTCGCTATGAGAATATGAATGTATTTATTGGACCTAGGTAATCCTTATGGATTTTGGTCTTTACTGCAATTAATTACCTATGGTATAATTTGTTTTATTTGGGTTAATTAGGATCTTTAATAATAAGATGATACTCTTGATCATTTTCAATTCCTAGATTATCCAAACTAAATTTCCATATAATTAAAATGATAAAAGAAAACATAACTTTAAGTCTTTGTATTTTGCTCATGTTCTGCTATTAGTTTTGATACTTTTTTTTTTTATGTTTTTGGTCCTTATACTTTTATTTTTTATTGTTTTAGGTCCTCCATGAACAAAGTATAGGGACTTTGGAGTGACCTAAAACAATAAAAAAATAAAAGTACAGGGACCAAAAATATTGAAAAAAGTATAGGGATCAATAGCAAAATGTGAGTAAAGTCCATGAATCTAAAGTTATGTTTTTCCAAACGATAACAAGAGGGTTATATACCTAAAGCAATTAGGGGATAAGGACTTTAAAACACTCTCCATTTGATTTTCTTAAGTCCATTTGTAGATTTCTTTCTTTTCTTCTTTTTTTTTTTTTGTAATTGTGAACTTTGTAATTTTATTTTGAATTTGTTAAAACTACTCTCAAAATTTTCTCATTTAACTTGAATGAACTTGGTTTATGAAGTACTTAGTATTCATTAGTTGGGACAACTTGACTCACCGTTGTTATTACTATTGGGACCTGTGCACTTGCGGTTGCTAATTTTAGGCATATCAATTTATATTACCTTTATACTTACATTAAAGATTACGCTCGGTAAATATTTAAAATTTTTCTTGTACTTAGTTAAGATTAATCACATGTTTGGAAAATAATGATCTTACAGACGGTAACAACTATTCACTTTATTATAAAAAAGGTGATTATCCAAAGGAAAAATACACACCCACATAAATATTGTGCTAGGGACACATCAAGCTGCCCATTAGTGACCATTGCTAATAATTATCAGGTTCAAGTATTCAACAAAGTCATACATCAGGAAAGGGTTCAATAACTAATGACAATATTTGCTTCTTAATATCTCCATCTTGAATTCCAAAACCGTCACCATTCTGGTAAAGAGTATGTGCCACACGAGCAGCATTCATGGCTTGGTTTACAAATGCTTGTTTTGAAGCATCTTGGGTACTGACGCACTGTTCATTTATCTTCTTCCACGCTCTCTTTATCATTTCTTCAATGTGCTCTCTTGCTGTTTCCTCTGTCACATCCATGTGATTAATATAACACAATATCGATGATGCTGCATCACCTCTCTCTCTTTCGGCCTGTCATAAAAAACAGATGTCTAATTAATTTCATGACAACACAGTTACACATACTGATAAATCTTTGAAGAAGCAAATTAAAGCTTACCATTGTAGTTCCGAGATCATTGCAGAGACGAATTATGAGTGAAACATTGAAGATAAAGTCGTGATTTGTCAGCAGAAAATTGTTGATGTGATGTGTTGGTTGATACAAGGTAGCGAAATATGCATGCAATAGAATCACTGGTCCTGAAGATGAAATCCAAGCATTGTTAAGATATTCTTCCAAACATGGTACGTAACCCTCTTTGTACCACTTTGCTTCCACGTATAAAGACTTGCAAAAGTCTTTCCACTGCAAAAAATAAAATATAAAAACAGAATCATGAATTTGTCATTCAAAATTAGACAACCGAAAAGGAAGAAAAAAGGAAAAATTATATGATTAATTAACTGAAAACCTCAAGACTTAATTTTATAAAACTTTTTTATTATAATATTAATTATTAATCTTAACTTTACCTAGGTTGACCATCTCATATCAATTTAAGTCTACACATATTTAGATAACCTAATAATTTCTTTTAATTCAGTTTAGAGTGTGGCTCAGAAACTTAAAACTTAATAAAAAAAAGGTCAGAGTTGTTACTGCTTGCTTAATGTAAGGTAAGACTTTGTCAACGTTGTTTGGCGCAGCAATTTCTTGAGCAGTTTCAGCGGTCACATCACTGAGTGCTTGGAAGCAAATCCTCATATAGTCTGGTAGACTTTGAAGTTCTTTAGCATCCCACCTGAAAATAAAATGAGTAGCACGTGAAATTTTTTTGAAACAAAGATGTTTGACATGATTTTGACTGACACACAACTCCCTCAATAATTTGTTTTTGATCATTTTATGCTCTTCCTCAGTTGTTTTGTGGAACACTTTTTCTTTTCTTTGTATTTTGAGTGGTTCTCATATAATCTTTTCGAATGGTTTAGATAACCATATCCTTGACAGCGACTACTCGTTGCTTCTGTTCATGTATACATGTCCTGGCAATCGTGTGACCACTGAATTCAATTACAACTATACATAACTGTTCAATGGCCCTACTTTTATCACTATTCATGCATCATTTTTTTCAATTAGATTTGAGACTTAATAAATATATAGCTTAAAGCAAATTTTTTTTTGGTGAAGACTCTTTCATTTCTGGTTAATAAATGATAAAAAACAATAATAATTAATATACAGAACAAACCTACAACACAAATTTTAGATTGCCAAGGCTGGTTAAAAACCGCCACTTTTTGTACGTACAAAGTAAATGATTTTTCCTTCAAATCAACCAATCAGATCATCACATCTTACATGTGCACAACTTATGGCAATTAATTTAGTGACCACTTATTATTACCTAAATAACTTTTTTTTTAACAGAACTATAACTGTTTAATGGCCCTATTTTTTTCACCATGATTCTCAATAATATAATACACGTCTTTTGGATAATTATCTGCATATGATTTTTTTTTTTGGCAAATAGATATAGACTTGTTAAAAGCACCAAAAGGGTTTTTTTTTTTTTTACTCGTTAAATAATGAAAACATAATAATATTTGATAATTAAACAAAAACAAACCTATCAATTGCGAGTGTGAACTGCTTCAATTCTTCAAATGAGGCATACACATCATAGATATCATCGATGACCAACACAAAATTGATGACTTTGGTGAGCCATTTTCTCAAAGATTTGAACTTTGGTTCAGAAGACACTCCTGCTGCACACATGAAGCTCTCAACCAACCTATTCCTTGCAAACTTCAACTCTTTTTCTAAACCAAGATTCTTCCACCACCTATAAATTAAAGCATCACAAAATCAAATAATCAGAATAGAGAGATATGAGTTAATTAATTAACTATTTATTCATTACTAGCTGGCTACCTAGATAATTCCTTCACTTCCTTCTGAAGATTGGCCTGAATGATGTTGAAGTTTAATTTGGCCAGTTCAAGCAAGACATGATTCATGTGGTTTTTCTCCAATTCTTTGATATGCCATTTTACTTGAAACCACTGAACTCTCCAATGAGAAGGGAGTTCCAAGGCATGATGGACCACTTGGTTTGAATAGTGTAGCTTGGTGGAAGCATCCTTGAGAGAATTAATAGCAAATCTTTTAACATCTTCTAAGATATCTTCACTTTCCAAACCCAAATGTGAGACCTCAAGAAGCTCGATTAAGCCTTTGATATTCCTAGAAATTGAATACTTATTCCCCTTATTCTCCTTGCCGTATAAGAATATCGTACCAAGTTTATCTGTGTTTTCACCACACACATCACAAGTTATTTTAGTTGGGGTTATATAAATTATAAATTTTAAATGTTACTTATTTATTTTTGACAATTTATTTTTTCAATCATTACAATAACCTTTTGTAAACAGTTCCAATTTTTTTTTTGGTAAAAGCAAAATTCATTTCTCTCACAATATTGAAAGCAAAGGGTAGTAGACTCTTTTTAATTAAGTTTTACATATTCTAAGACATAGGATGGTTCCTCTTTGTGTGTGTATTTGGGAAAAAAATTAGAAAGATATTTTAGTAATAGTATTTTGCGTTAATTTGAATGTTTTTCCCCCTATTTTTGCGTTAGAACAAGTTCAAAATTATGATGTAAGTAGAATATTAAGCATGACCTTTCTTTGTGGGATCCACCGAATGATATGAAAGTCTTACTGTGAATCTTTGTGGGATCCATTTAAAAGATGTAATTAATTAGTTGGTTCAAGTGAAAAGTGAGAGACTTACCAGGAGAAACTTCATATCCATTCTGCCTAAGAAGCCTGAAGCATTGAGCATTGAAATACACATGATCATGAACCCTAATATTGTTATTCTTAACAGAGATTACGGTTTCTATAGCCTCCTTTATTTCTTTCTGAAAATGGTTGGCCAGACCAAGATTTTGAATGGTAGATATCAACTCCAACTTGGGCAATGGACCAATCTCTTCCACAAACAGACTTTTTGCTTCTTTAATCATCTTCTCTAACCTCATGACAAATTCTTCATTCTGTGTACATTTACACAGCAATAAATTAAATGAGTGGGTATAAATTAATGTGATTTGATCATGAAGGTCTAACCACTTCTATCATTTATATAAGGGAAAACATAACTATTAGTTCCTATATATAGTTTTAACGTGTTTTAGTATAGATTGAACCAAAAGTTGTGTTTAACCCTTTTATATGAGCAACATACTGTATTGAAAATAAAATTGAAGTAAAAAATTTGAAATAACAAAAATATTTATAGAAGTAATCTCACATCATATTGGCTGGTGAGTGACTGAAGGAAGTCATATTTCCAAATGTTGGGTTTGTAATTTGCAGATCTTCTGTTCTCCATTGCATTGTGATGAGATACTGAACCGTGGCCAATGTCACAGAGTGCTTTGTCTTGCTTTGCTGCTTCCGATTGGTGCTTCATACTATAGTCCATGTATGCTGTTTGTTCTTGTAAATTGATTTCTCTCTCTTGTCTTCTTTCTTGGTGATCACCTTTTTGAGTTTGAGGCAAAGCCTACAGGTTTGTGTTTATATGGGGAATCATTTTAGAAGAAACAAAAAGATGTTTGCTGAACGTAAAAGTTGTTTAAATATGCTTGTTCAGACGCGTGGGGCATGTACAGTCTTTAGTTTACAAAGGTTTTTCTTTGTCTGTTTTTGGTTTATTACTGTGATAATGATATATGTTAGTCTCAACACTTTGTAAATGTCTAAATCATAAGATTGAATCATTTGTTTTGAGAAATTACACGTTTATAAAAATTATCAACATATGTTTTACAAATTCTTATATTAATTTAAGACCAAGTTAGAGTAATCAATATTTTTTTAATTTTACCCTTTTTTATTTATTAGTATTTAACTTGAAGTCTTAAAAAATAATTTATTATAGTTATTAAATTATTCTCCGAGAGGCATTGGGTATTCTAAACTATCAAGTAATATAATATCACTTTTGAAAACAATATTAGAGCTTAAAAATTGACAGATAATGGTGGTAACAAGTGGTTAATAGCTGTAACTTATAATATTAGTAAGCTATAATTGAAGGTAGTTTACAATAGTAAAAAATAGTGCGATTTAAAAATGAAAATACTTCTAAGATATTTTCTTTTTTAAAAAAATAAAAAATGTAAACAATTTTGATAATACTTAAATTCAAAACACTTGTCTAAATAAATTTTAAAAAACAAAAAAAAATTGAAAAACAAAAATCAGACAATCTTATGACTCCATCAAAGGTGTTTCCTCTTGTAGTTTTATGAGAAATTTCAATGGTGACATCATTGAGAGCTTGGAAGCAAATCTTCATGTACTTTAATTTGAAATATTTTGATGTTCCTTTGCATGATTTCATTCCTCCTAAAAATAAATGTGAAGCACATGCAAAAAAAGAAACAAAAAAAAACAAATTAAAACAGAGGAATTGGGAAGACCTTTTGTTTTCCGAAAAAGAACAATTATACAAATAAAAAATAAGATTGTGGGGGATTGATTTGTTTTTTTTTAATTGCTCGTAGGTATTTTTTTATTAAAAATAATTATATTCAAGATATCGTAAGAAATTAAATGTAAACACCTCTCGTGATAAACATTTAAACCGTAATTCATCACGATATGAAACACTAGCCTAAGTCTGGTTTGTGTGGGGATTTGATTTTAACACCATTATAGACTCTTCTGTTACCAACCACTAATTAATTCGTTTGCGTTAGTTTGTACGTGCTATCTCAAAGCAATTAATGTGGGACAACTCATCAACGTACGTGTCAGGTCTCTCGGCCATGCGTGGAGGAGAAAGGCACCTATATAGCTTGCTGTCATTTTCTGATCTTTAAGGTTCTTGAACAGGTGATACGACGAATTTCTCCTATTAACTTGCTGAGAAACACGTGATGAATAACATTGCGATTTGGTGGAAGCATCGTCTTCGAGATAGATGTGTCAGTTACCAGAGCCAAGTGTGTGGCCTCAAGAAGATCAATTAATAGCCTCTGATGTGCCTAGAAATTGATTATTTCTTCATCCCCCCTTCCAGTTAACGTGTTTTCTTCACCATACACATGAAAAGATATTCTAGTTGGAGCTATACAAATTTTAATTTTATTTTTGTTTTTCTTTTCATTTTAAAATTTTGTTAACCTTTCTTTTTTTAAAAAAATTGTTAACTATTTTCTCTCTCTCTATATATATATTCCCATGTTTTACATTATTTAAAAGTTTTACCAAAAGCATGTATAAAATTGTTTTATAATTGGGAAAAAAATTCACACGCTTTATTTTTGGTAAAAAAAATTTGATACGCTTTTTTTAATAATATTATTGTGTTTTTTCTTAACGGAAAGTAGGGTTTCTTGAGCCATCTTGATTTCTTCCTGAAAACAATTTTCCAGACAAATTTTGAATTGTAGCCATCAGCTCCGACTTGGGCAATGGACCAATCTCTTCCACAAACGGGCATTTTGCTTCTTTAATCAACTTCCCCAACCTCAGGCCAAATTCTTCTTTCTGTTCACATTCACAACAATAACATAATTGGTGTCATAAGCCCAAATTAGGGATTTAATTTAGAAATCGTTTTTTAAGTATAGCTTAACCAAGATTATTATATAAGTGAACTAACTATTTTTATAAATTCATATTGCTTTGTTCATGTGGGTTATGCTTGGGAAAGATAACTTAGGAGAAGAACTTGGATAAATTTGTGTTTGACTTGAAATTTACATGATAAATAGGTAGTTTTGTTGGTAAAATAGATATATTTTTACTAACCCAACATAGTCATGATAGTTGAAAATTAGTTTTTAAACCAGCCTTTCTAAACCAATTATTGTGGAGACGATTTAAAAAGTAGAGGCAGTGGCAATATTATAATTAAATAGCATGTTGTTAAGACTTTCCAAACAGGTTCCAAATGGAATTGGTCTTGAAATGTTTTCTAGACCAGTTGATAACATAACTAGTTTGGAATGTGTTTTTTTCACAACAAAATTAAATTTTTGTACTTTTAAATCTAGCAGGTGCGGAACTGGTTTGGAAAGTTTGCTAATCTTTTCATAAATTTTTGTGCACTTCTAGGCCGGTTAGGCTTAAATGTGGTTTAACAAGATTTAATTTATCTCTAAAAATCAATATTTTTTAACTAGCTTTCTTGACTTATTGTTTGTGCAATTATTCACTGTCAAGCATTATCGCAAGCATATGGGAAGTCATAAATATAGAATATTCCAAAGATATCATTCTCACATAAATTTATGCAAAGAAAGGTTAAAAATTCACTATTTAGCTTTGAATTAAGTTGAGCAAAATCATATGAAGGGTTTGTGTAAAAGTATGAAAATTAGATTAAAAAGTGTTTTGAAGCAAGTAAATTAGTTGAAATTTTGACTTCAAGGGATAAGGACTTAGGATTATCTCTTCCTTTTATATTTCATAAGACTTAAATTAATTTCTCTCATAACAATTTTTAATGAGCATATAAGTATTAATCTAAGATTTTAATTTATTTAAAAAAGCTTTATCAAGTCAAAATCAAGTATTTTTTGCAAACATTAAAAATTCTCAATCTCTTGAAAGTAATTAATAAAAACAAGTGTGAAGCTCCAATCTTAATTTGACTATGAAGGATTAGTAAAATATCTCCATTTAATTAACCAACAAAGCTATCCATTTATCTTTGTAAATTTCAAGTCCAAAATTATTTTATCCAGTCTTAATCCATATAAAGTTTCAAAATGATTATAAAACAAGTAAACTAGCTACTAATGTTTAGAAAAGAGCAACAAACATCAATTGTTCAGAAACCATATAAGAAACACAAAGAGAAGAGGGAAGAAAAGCAGAAAAATTGAAGAAAATCAACTTGAATCTCTTCAAATCTTTATTCTTAGCCAAATCTTCAAAAACTCAAAACCCTAGTAGAGCTAGCCTTCGAGAACTGCTGGAAATAGTGTATATATCTATGGTTGGAGGCATAAAATGAGTCTATGTAGCCCTAATTACTACTAGAAAAATGCAAATTAGCGAGGGAATTTAGTAAGAGATCATCTATTTGTTTTTAAAATACTAATTATCTAGAAAATTAGCAAAAAATGTTAATTTCATAGCTTGACTTAAAATTAGCAAGAAACTTTTAAACCCTCTCTAACATAAAAGAATTAGTGAGGGAAATAGCAATAATTATCAATTCCTCTTTAAAATAAGACAATTAGCAAGGAAAATAGCAAGAGACTGTTAATTCCTTTTTAAAATAAGACAATTAGCGAAAGATTCTATCCATAGTTAATTACTGAAAAAAATTAACTTTTGGTAATGACTTTTAATTATAAATTTAATTATTTTCATTTAAAATAAAAATTAAATTTAAAAATTAACTAAAGTATTCATAATAAAATTATTTAATGTTTAATATTTTCTTTACTTTAAGTTGATTTTCATTACTAAAATAATATTTTATTAAAAATATAATATGAAGAATAATTTAAATAAAATATAAATATTTTTAACATATTAATAATTGAAAAAAAAATTTAATATGTATATATGTGTGTATTTTTATAATATATTATTTGATATATTTATGTAGTTAAATAATATATATTTAATTTCTCATATAATGACTACAGGTACTTTTTAGTTCAACTAGCAAGGAAAGAGAATATAAGGTTTAGAAGGTATGAGGTTAAGGATTTAAGTCTTGACTTTGACATAAACATAATGAAAATATGATATGATAAGGAGCAAATGATATGGCGCAAGGTAGACAATAACATGTCATGAGTTGTTGCACATATGGCAAGTGATGGGACACAAGATGGTATGTGACACGGCGATTGATGAAGTATGAGGTTGTTGGTGATATGTCACAAGTTGACGCACACATGGCGGGTAATGTGGCACACTATTTTTAAATATAGGCATATTTAGTGAAGGATTAGTGAAGGATTAATCCCTTGCTAAAGTTATCAAATTTTGAATTAGCAAGGGATTTAATTCCTCACTAATTTTAGCAAGGGACAAAATCTCTCTTGGAAATACAATTTAGCTAAGAAAAATAGTATTTAGTAAGGGATTTATCCCTTGCTAAATTTCATTTTTCTAGTAGTAAATTTTCTTTCTACAGCTCAAAATACTTTATAGCATTTAAGTCATACATGTTGTCATTGCACCACGGCACATGTACAAAAATTGTGATGTGTGCCATGACATCATGTATATGAGCTATGATGCACATGTAATTCCTAGAAACCACTTCTTTGTGCCATATACCATGGCATACTGTGTATGCACTATGGCACATGATATAGAGAGCTTAATCTTCATTTGCGGTTCGCTTTTGGCTGACTTTATGCTTCTAAATACAGGCATCTTCAAGCATCATCTGGCTCTCCATTATCAAGATTACCCATTAGAAGTCACTTGAAACAATAGATG